AGAGCAGCAGTTGTTAAATGACCAGGCCCCCAGGAGGGCTGCTTGGGAGCTCACAGTCAGCACTCCCTATGCTCATGAAAGGATGTGTCCTGTAGTATGCAAGGTCGGCTCTGGGAGTCAGTGCCCGTCTCCTGAGGATAAGCACGCTGCTCATTGATAAACCAGGCACGGTTCTGTTATACACGTCACCTCTAGGCACCTCCCGGCTGGACGTACCTCCCGGTCTGGGTGCCCTAGCACAACCCAGCATCATAAGGCACTGAAGGGCCGCACAGCCCCAAAGTGTCAAAGGACACGATTTGTGCAACCCTGGGGCCTGTCAGAGGTGTGCTGTAAAAATGATGAATGGCTGTCACATCTCCAAGGCTCTGGCTGATTTAGGGAGCTATTGGCAGGCACATCACTCCCAGCGTGTCAGCCAGTTAATTACTTCCAACTTTATCTTTCTTGTCAACACTTCTTGACAAATTGGCCATTATCTTTTTATTCTACAACAATGAGCTCTGCTCCTTCTCTGTGACGCCTGGAGGTTTTTCTCCTTGCGGAGCCTTCATATGCAGAGCAAAGTGAAGAGCTCTGAGAGATTAGAGAGGAGCTGCCAGGGAAAGGAAGGCGAAAAGGAACAGAAGGGAGAGGGCTGACAGACAGAATCCAAAGCCGCTTTTCAGCCACCTTGACTCAAAGCAGAGCTGATACTCTTCTCAATGTCCAAGAGCTCTGACTCAGTCAACTATGTGGATGGAGTTGGGAAACAAAAATGAAGTGAGCTGGCACCTAGTGGTCTGGCAGCTTCGAGCTCTCCACGCTTAACTGGGTGAGCAGATGCGAGCTGGCCGTTTACTCCAGTAAGGCGTTAGGCCGCACTGTAGGATACTGATGCCCATATTCTGGGAACAGGGCAAAGGAAAAAATGTGCCTGCCTCCTTGGTAAGGAAAAGCCAACAGAAAGGTCCAGCACTCACTCTTACTGGACTGCCAACATTCCAGGCCAATGAGATCTCCAAAAGAATTTGGGGAGACCAATGTGTCACCACTGATACATCTCATTGTCGCCGGGACAGGCTGTGTCAGAGGGTGTAACCCGGCACCTACTATATTTCATCAGTTCTAGGACACACTTTTTTCACACTTGAATGTCTCTGCAATTGTGACACAGCACACAACGCAAGGTTTCAGAGCCCGGTGACACCATTTACTTGTCAGCAGTCCGTCCCTCTTCCCTGTAGTGGTACATAAACATCACAAGCAACTTCTCTAAGTCACCATGCGTGGTCCCATTAAACCTCAGTCATTCCTGAGGATGAGCCAGAGGCAGTGGAGGCGCAGAGGGTGACCACTGAACTACAGCAAGCTCCTCCCTTTACAGTGGTCTGGGGCTGCCGTCAAGGAACCTCTGTCTTTTCGGCCAACTTGAGGAGAAACCCTAGGACCATTCCCTTTGTACAGCTCCTCATGGAGGGCGAGCTTCCTGCATTGAAGAGAGCTGTCCTTGGGGTTTGTAAGATGCTCTATAAAGGCAAGCTATTGTAGTGAACCTGCAGGAAGTCTTCAGAATGGCCAGAAATAAATTTCGCTCTACAGGTGACAGGTGAGACCTGACCTCTAGGGTGTGGCTGGCTGTGATGGGTGTTATAGAAAACAATGGAGCTGGAAAGAAAGATACACCCTGCGCTTTTGCTCTGGCTACCCTGGGGCTTCCTTCACTCACCTACTCTTTGCCCCTCTTCTACAAGGGGTACAGGTTCCTAGAGGCACAATGGCACTCCTGAAGCCAGCATGAGCCCAGAGGTTTGGAATGTGTTTTTACTGAGAAGTGAAGAGCTTTGAGTAAATCCTTACCCTTCTGGGCAGAGTGTTTTTTCTTCCAGCAGAGGTGCAGGGAAAAAACGAGACTGTGTACCTTTTCTGGAAGCCAGGAAACAACTGTAAAAGCAGGACTCATACTTCCAAGCAACACAATAGACACCTCTGAAACATGTGTTCAGAATTAAGACACAGAGGGGTTTGTTCATCCACCTAGCCCTCTCCTGCAGACCGTACAGCCCAGTCACCCCTGCCATTAGTTGGCTGCTCAGGCACAACTGACTCAAATTCTCCAACATTCTTAAAGAATTACAGGCCCATTTTCCCGTTAGTGCTCCCTAAGTCAGGGCATCAGAGGTGCAGCCCAAAGGGAAGATCTGTAGGCCCAGGGTGGCCATACACGGGCTTGTCATCTTGTCCTGCACCCCCACGCCCACCTCGGGCTATCTCTGGTTAACGGTGATTGTCTACAACTATAATGTAATGGGCATTTGATGTCCACAAGCTTTGTCGGGTTCCTGGACACATTATGGGGACTATAGCTACCCAGAGACATGGCTGTTTTTTATGAGGACATGTTACTTTCTTCATTCTCACTTCAACGTTAGCAGCTGCGCGTGGCCCGTTGGGCCACGACGAAGGTTAACTGACAGGCCCACGCAGGCTGCAGTGGTCGGCTGTGCCGTTACACAGGCGTCCTGAATAAACAGGAGCGGGACAGCCCACCCACTGCTCTGCCCTCCTCTCACGGGTCATCTTCACAGGTAAAGGAAGCGGGGTGAGACACAATTGATGGCTTCCAGGGACACAAAGCGTACAAGGATGCTGCCTCAAGTTATTGATTAAAAAAACCTCAACTCTTCCAGTTCTCACTTTCTTTGATTCTTTAATTGCAACCTATGGAAGAAAAATGGACTTCGAGCAGGAGAGGGTGCAGTCTCTACAATGAAGACCTTACCATGATACACTACCAGCAGTGACCATGTAGGGAGATGCCAAGTCTCCATAGCAGATGTTTATTTAGGGGAGCAGAACCTTCTGCTGGGAATTTAGTCTTTCATCTGACAAGTTCCAATTAAGTATCTCTTGTCTTCAGCTTTGTGCTAAGTGCCAGACGCTAGAGCTACTGTGGTAAATAAGACAGACAAGGCCTTTGCTTTCACGGACCTTCCAGGTGGCTGAAGTAGCTGTACCAAGAACAAACTGCAGGAGGTGCTGTGGAGCCAAACACCGTGATGGCTTTTCTGATTGGATGATAATCACAGGACTAAATAATAATTATTTGCTGGGCACTGACCATGTGTCAGGCATTATTCTAAGTGTTTTATGTGCACTTAGGAAGTTTTAAAGAAACTTCCTACTTGAAGTACAACACACACATACACTGGAACGTATACACAGTGTGCAGCTTAATAAGTCCCCACAAAGTGAAGATACCCCTGTAACTACCACCCAGACCAAGAAACAGAACACAACGCACGGCCAGCATCCCAGGAGCACCGAGCCTTCTCCCAATCATGGCTCCTCCCTCCTGCACGGAGGCAGCAACTATCTGACCTCTGACACACTGGGTTAGCTCTGCCAGGCTGTGAACTTGATATAAACACTCAAAATTATGTTTGTGAGACACGGCTGTGTTGTTATATGCCACGTACGTAGCTTTTTTCTATTGAACTGTATTTCACTGTATGAATATACCACAATTTACCTATTTTACTGTTGGACATTTAGGTTGTTTGCAGTATCTGGCTATTACGTGTGGTGTTACTACGAACGTTCTTGCGCGTCTTTGGTGCACGTGCATTCACATTTCTCTTGGGAATATACCTCGTAGTAGAACTGCTGGGTTACAGGGTATGTTCAGCTTTAGGAGATACTGACAAGTTGCTCTCCAAAGTGGTTTCACCAATTTACATTTCCATCCAAAGTGTATGAAAATCCCAATTGTTCCACCTCTTTGTCAACACTTGGTATTTTTAGCGTTTTCCATTTCAGCCACTTTGATTGGTAAACAGTGGCATTTTATAGTTTTAATTTGACATTCTATCATGACTAAGGGGCTTGACCAGCTTTTTGTGCATTTATTGGTCTTGAGGATATCCTCTTTTGTCGAACAAATGCCCGTTCACATCTGGCCACTCTAAAAAAAATTGATGAGTTCTATATATACTCTGACTGAATACGATATACACAGAAACGTACTGGAGATATCTTCTTGTCTTTTCACTCTCTTCATGGTGTCTTCTAATGCACATAAATAACTACTTTTATTGCATATTTTCCTTTATGGTTAGTGTTTTTCATATCTTGCTTAAGAAATCTTTGCTCATACCAAGATGCCAAAGATAACCTCCTATGTTACCTTCTAGAAGCTTGTTTTACCTTTCACATTTACAGCTTAAATCTCCTCTGGACTTGAAGCTCTGTGTGTGGTGTGAGATAAGAGTCCAGAGCTTCCGCCTACCCCCAAGGCTATCTAACTCACCCAGCAGAGCTTACTGAGAAGACTGTCCTTTCCTCACTGTTCTGTGGTGCTCCATAAATCAAGTGTCTACATATATGTGGGTCTGCGGCTGTCTGTTCCATTTATCTGTGTGTCTATCCTTGTACCAGTACTACCCTGCCTAATTACTTACTGTAGCTTTATGATAAACTTGACTTCTAATAGTGTAATTCTTCTAAATTTATTTTTCTTATTCAAAAATGCCTTAGCTATTTTTAATCCTTTACTTTATTTAACTTAATCCTCACAAAAATCCCGTGAGGTGAAGTAGTTACGATTTTTATCTCCATTTCACAGACTGGTAGACTCAGAGAAATTATGTAATTTGATTTGCCCAGAATCATATATCTATCAAGTTATATCTGGGATTAGAGATAACTGTCAAATTAAACCTGGGATTAGAACTCAGATTTGTGTGCTCCTACCCAAGGATTTAAGGTCCTTCACATACCACCTCCCTAATCCTCAGCCAGCAAATGCCTTTGGGGAATTTCCTATGAATGCAATACAATTTTAAGAAATTCCAAAGTTCTAAGCCACCTATTTCCAGTTAAAAAATCTTGTTTGGCAGCTACAAAAGCCATTTTCCTGGTAAGACTCAGGAAAACAAAGCAGCGAGAGGTAAACGCTTCCTGGACTTCACCTCTCCAGCCTAAACTGCCCAGCGCCTCTGTCTCTGGACTCTTCAGCCATGCTCACTACCTGCATTCTTCTAGCAAGCCAAGGTCTTTCCATGGCTGCACCTTTGCCCAGAGTGCCCTCACCCATTCCTGGCTACTTCTTTAAAACCTGGGCATCACTTCCCTTGGGAGGCCTTCTAGAACCTCATCTGGGTTGGACAATCCTTCTCTGTGTCCCCTATCCTCACACATCACACTGTCCCAGAGTATGGTTGTCTGCTTCTCCAACTGCACTGGGAGGCACTTGAGGCTGGGCTGGTACTGCAACTTGCATGCTGGCTCACAGAGCAGATGTCTGCTACAAAGTCCTGAGAGATCTGGGATCGACTTTTGTGCTAGGAGCTATAATTAAGTCATCAGCTCCAGGAGGAGGCCTGAGAGAAGTGGTTTCTAATACACCCAGGACACACTTTGGCAGAGTGGCAAACTTGAAGCTTGGAGAGAGATGGAAACAGCTTCTGTGATGGACTTGGGCTTTCAGCTGAGCTAGAAATAGGACTGAGTGATAGAGGGTCAGGTATTAAATGGCTACATATAGCAAGGCAAGATGTGACTAATGAAAAGACTTCAGAAGAAGTAAAATATTCCCACGAAGTACACAATTAAACTAACAAGGCCGGCGCTTTTAAGGTGTAGCCATTCAATAGACGGGGAGCCTGGTTCTGAGGGCAGCTGTTTCTCTCCCTCACCAATTTTGAAAGCAATGGTTTAAGAGTAGGCAGGGGCAGGAATGCTTTAGAAAAGGAGAAGTTTCTCCAACAGGGGACATTTTCAAGAAAATGAGACATGACACTCACTTGGAGAAGGAGAGACTTCCTCTAGGCCCTTCCCAGCTGTCCCCCTCGGGCTGTTTGAAGGCTGCCAGTCCTCGGTGCCAGCCAAGGCCATGCAGCCTGGACTGTGGTCTGTGAGAACTTCCAGGCTAAGCAGAAGCTCACTGGCTTTTCTCATTAAGAATACAAACTTTATTTTCAAAAACAGCTTTCCATGGAGCACCAACTTGACCTCTTTCACCACCAGCAAAATGGAAAAAAGGAAAAACTCTAAGGTATCCAACCCAGGTCACCCGTATTTTTCCAGTTAATTCCCATTTTTAGAGAAGGGAGTGAAAACTGCTCTGGTCCCCATGTTCTTCCTGGTTTTCTCTATGGGCTTAGCTGTACTCAAAACAAGGGCTCACTTTTCCTTCTCTTAGAAATTCAGAATCGAGGGCATGGAGGGGTTGTGGATATTCTGGAGGACAGATCATCTCTTGGCGTGGGGAATACTTTTAATTGGCTATTTTATTCAAAATTGGGGGGACGGGGGTTACTGAAATTTGGGCAGCTTAGGCGAGTTAAGAAAATCTTCAAATAAGAAAAGCTTGCCTCCAACTTATGCCTTATGTTAGAAATAAGCTTCCAGAAAAGAAATGTCAGAGCGTAGACTCTCATGCTAAAAGCTAGAGCTTGTGATCCAAACCCCTCCCACCGTTCCAACAAAGGACTGCTACATGGGTTGCAAATACGAATGATTGGCTCATTCTCTGCCCACATATAAACATCTACTCACGACACTTTCCTGTTTAGGCAGGGAAAGCAGCTACCAGAAGAACAAACAAAAAGCTGACTGGGAATCCATAAAGCTGCACTGCTCCATGATGGTTCCTCTACGCGCTGCTACACGGGAGCCCCTAGATGGCAGGGTCACATGTGATGTCACATATGACTATATGGCACACAGCACTTCTTTGGCACATGGTTTGAGCCCAAAGTCATTTCATGGTTAGCAGACCATCGTGAAGATCCTCTTGAAGTTCAGCAGACCCTGTCAGATGCTGACAGTTGGGACCAGGTTCACGTTAGTGAAATGAACTCCATGGAGCTGAGACTGCAGAGCCCGGCTGGACTAGATATTTGCAAAAAGAGACCAGGGGCCGGCTGACAGTGCCAACTGCAAAGAGCACCTTTTGAGCTGAACGACAAGTTGCTATAGGGCCAGTAATATCCTCACCCCTTAGTAGGCAGAGGATATGATGTAAGAAAACAAACCCTGATCCATGTGATCCACTACTGCTTTTTGATTTAGAGACAAAAAACTGTTTGGTCACTCCAGCTACCTGGACAGAAATGACTCTCTGAGAAGCTAAAAGCTCTGATGAGAAAGGACTCTGGGGGGTCATGGCAGGGAAGGAAAGCTATCAGGAGTTGGCTTGGCTTGTGTGTGAAGGGCCCACGCAGAATAGCAACAGTACAGGAACTGCCTCAGTGGCTCTGTAACACGGAAAGTGCAAGAATGTGTTTCAAAGACAGGGTTACTGTCTCAGGACAAAGGGACCTTTGTATAGATTCTTAGTGAAAAGCTCATTTTAAGAATTTAAGGTTTGCTGAAATCACAGGTTTTTTCCCATTTATTTCCAAAGGAGTGCCCTTCAAATATAGTACATGAAAAATCATAGTATCCCTATTTTCAGGGATATACAGAGAATAATTTCGGATGTGCAGCCACACTGCACAGGAAGAGGAAAAGGAGACTCTGGATATGGATATATTCGGGGCTTCTTTTCTCTATGATTTAATGTATTTTCCAAGCTTTGCATCACGGGCCAAGGGTTCTGTTCTGCCTGAAGACCAACGGAAATGTGGGTGACCGACCTAGAACCATGTCCATTGCTCCTGAGGTTTCCTCCCTGCTGCGGCCTCTGATACCTCCTTGCTAAAGTCAAGTATGAGAAGCCCACTCTCTGCTGGAGAGAGTATGTAAAAAGAAAGATCACCAAGCAGATCCCAGGGATACAAACTACAAAGTCTTTTTTTGCTTCCTAAGAGATTTACTCCGCCCTCCTCTTTCTAGAGCTTTTCTAAACTGTCAGCTTTCCAATGTGAGATGCTGTTGGATTCAGGTTGGACGGGGGCTTTGTAAAACACTGAGTGGCGATCATGGAAAGGAGTAGGCAGCCTTGTTAAAAGCACATCCGGCAGCCGGGCCCTCCTATAAACAGCCTGGATTACATTAACAGGCCTCCCTGGGTGAGCAGAGTCTCATTCCCAACTCTCTCTGCCTACCTTACGCTCACCCCATGGTTATATAACCTTTAGAATGGAATTTGGAAATTCTTCTGACCCTGCCCTGCTTGCTGATAGAGTTGAGCCAGTGGCTGGCAGGGGCATAATCTAATAGGCGAAACTGGAAACACACAAATTCGCAGTCCTCTGGTCCCGGCCCAGACTGTGTCGGCAAGGAAAGACAGACTCGCCCTGTCTCCCTCCTCCCTTCTCTGGCCTAAGTTTACGCTGACTTCACCCAACAGGCACCTGACCCTCCCAGATGAGCTGGGAGTGGCTAAAGCGCCATGCACATGGGGTGGAGGTGCAGGCAGCAAATGGTATTTAAGATGCTGAGTTTGTAGAGCATTTAGGTTTGGGAAGGAAAGCTATAGGATTCCCAATTAAGCTGCACTTTCAGAAACTCAAGCTTTGACAAAGGCCAGTAAGAAAGAGCCAGGAAAGAGAAAACAGAGTGGTGGGCCCATCAAGAGTGCAAGGTTATAATTGCTGCAGCTTTGCAAACCTCAGCCGGGCAGATCCAGATTCCCCTACAGGAAGAGCCTTCCTCGCCCAGGCCCACGAAAGATGCTGGAAAAGACTCTCTCAGCTGTGACCTGGCTCTGCATTTTCATCTTGGCCTTTGTCAGCCACCCTGTGTGGCCACAGAAGCCCCCTAAGCGCAAGACACCTGGGCAGCTCAAAGTGGCTGCCTGCTGTGAGGAAGTGAAGGAGCTCAAGGCCCAAATCGCCAACCTAAGCAGTCTGCTGAGTGAACTGAGCAAGAAGCAGGAGAGGGACTGGGTCAGCGTGGTCATGCAGGTGATGGAGCTGGAGAGCAACACCAAGCGTATGGAGTCTCGGCTCACAGAGGCTGAGAGCAAGTACTCGGAAATGAACAACCAGATTGACATCATGCAACTGCAGGCAGCACAGACTGTCACGCAGACCTCGGCAGGTAAGGAGCACGTTCTCACCACCCTGCCCTCACAGAGCCCAGTGTCTCCTGTCTGTAGCATTGCTTTCTAGGTAACGTGGTCATCAGAACAATTATTGGGGGTTCTTTGGGGGCATACTTTCTTGGGTATGTGCTATTAGCTCTATTTTCTCTTTACTAGAGGCTTAAGAAGTATTTCTTTTGATTTCTAATGTTCTGCAAATTTACCCAGTACCTTCACAGGTCTCTTATTCACACAATGTTTCAGCACACTGAAGGTATGAATTACCATCTTGGAGCACAGAGAGATCACATGGTTTACCCAAAGTCACACAGCAAGTCCTAGAAAGAGGGTTCAAATTTCCCAATTGGTCCCCTTCCTTACCCAGAGCTGACAGTCCCAAGGAAGCAGGAGTGAGCACCGAAACCATAGCGTCCGTTGCTCTAGAAGCAAAGTTTTGCCAAAAACAGTTCTCTCATGTCTCTAACATTTAGTGGAACGGGTGTAAATGGAATTGTGTCTCCTCTCTCTGCAAACCTAACTTCTTGCTGGCTCAGAATGAAGTGTGCAGACACAGCGCAGGGACATTTGAAAATTTCCTTTGTGTTCAGGAAAGGACAGGCTCCTCAAGGTTCCTCAATTTTGATATTTCTATTTTTCCCCATGATCTCAAAATTCTGCCTAATAGTACAGGAAATAAGAAAACGTAACACTGAAATCTGGATTTGGGGGAGGCCAAAAATAAGGCATACTTAATGTTTTCTCTTGCATAATAATTTTCAGCTTATGGTTAGCTCAGCTCAGATGGGCCAAGTGACTTTATTAGAGAGAAATCCGGTTTTCCAAAATTATCGGGAAATTATTAATTATAAGGAGCGTATCCTATAGATACGTCATTTCTTGCTGATATAAAAACTTTTGGTCACACTATAAACTAAGTCAAGGACAAAGAAGAGAGTAAGTAACTGGTTAGCCTCAGTTCAAATGAAAAAGTTTTAACATGAAATTAAGCTTAAAAGTTCTGTTATCTAAAGCAACGTGCGTAAGTCAGTTTCTGAGCATGTACTTCCTGACCCTCAGTTTGGGACTCACAGGCCATTTTCTAGACAAGCGAGTCCTGGTGCGGTTTGTGAGATAGGTTAATCTGACCGTGCCGCTTCCTGCTCCTCCAAAGGGGGTTTTCTCACCCCCAGCAGGGAGTTTCTTGGAGTCAAATGCAGCTCTCCTGCCGGGCCTCTTACTCTTGCCCAAAACAACACTGCTTATTTTTCTTCTGTATTACTAGGTGCTGGGTCACCTTTATACTCTGCAAACAGGTAGCCCCTTGGAGAAAGCAGTAAGCTGATGCTTGCATCAGTAATAGAAAGTGTAGAACTCTGCTGGCACAGACAACCCTTTCCCCTCCCCGACGTGCTCTGCCCTGGACAATTCCCAGGAGGAAATGTTTCCACCTGCCACATGTGTGCTCTCCTCGAAGGCCCAGTGCAATGGTCACCAGAAGAAGCTCCCAAGACACAGAGGGCAGAAGTGTTTCTGGTCAGCACCAGTTCCCACTCTCTGAATCCTCTCAGGAAAGACAGTCCCTTCCACTACGTCTTCAATATTTAGAACAAGGAGACAAACTTGGTATAAAGCAGTAGCCGCCAGGGCAGCTGGGGAAACATTTAAATCAACCCCCAAGTGAAAACCAGCCTGTTTAATGCTCTCACTTCCCTGCTCTAACAACCACTCCAGGGGAAGAGGTCCAGGGGTGCCTCAAAGTGCATTTGTCTAGCAGAGTGAGATTAAGGAGGGAAAGGCAAGATTATAAATCCATCTCCCTTAATTAGGGACCTAGTAGCCATTACCTCTGAAAAACAATAAAGCCAACCAACCAAACCAAGAAACAACAAAACTGAATCCCACAAGACACTCATGATTACCTAGGAGTAGAGGCTGGATGTCCCAAAGTCGGATCTGTTAGAGCATCTGTTATGTGGCCCCGCACACTGTAATAATTCCAGGATTCGGGCTAGAACTACTGCAGGATAATTTATTTCGCAGTAAACCTGGAATCATCTGATTGTCCCATGGATGTTCTCCAGGTGAAGGGCTTCCCCATCCCTCAGTCCCACCACTGGTGAAGCCAAAATATACCCACTCTTGGTCTGTCACATCCAGACACTGCCTAGCAATGAACATTCCTATGAATTTCGTGGTTGAAATGGAGCCAGTGCTTAGACTTTCACCTTCTATGCAGCAGGAAGGCCCTGTTGCCAGGGACCCGGGTCTGTATGCTCACTGCTGTGGTCTGTCCCCTTCGTAGATGCCATCTATGACTGCTCATCCCTTTACCAGAAGAACTACCGCATCTCTGGAGTATATAAGCTTCCTCCCGATGACTTCCTGGGCAGCCCTGAGCTGGAGGTGAGGCCATCACCACCCATGTTCCTCCAATACCCGCAAAGGGACAATAGGACTAGTCAGATTCTAACAAAATGGAAACTCAAGATAGAAACAAGCATATCATATACCAGGGAGCTATCCACTCAGTTTATGGGGGGAAAAATCCAAGCATCTGTTTTGCCCTTTCAAATCATTATCAACTAAAGACCAACCTTCTGAAGTAGGTTAGATAATTCTAGAACTACCACCTAACTAGCTAAAATCTCTTGCCATGTCCTAAAGCAGCTGGTCTTTGGGGGAGAAGAGAGAACACGGAGGGAGCCTATCAGAAGTGCCTGGAGTTTCCCCTTCAAACCTGATGTGCACTTACTAGCCCTGTCCTCAGCTTGGATCATTCTCAAATTTGATCACTTGGGCAGAATAGAGCCTGCGTGGCTATGGGAGAGCGGACATCCCCGGCTCTACAGGGATGGGAGAAGGGAGGTGAAGGCCACCCCATGCTCATGCTCCTGCTCCTGCCTCTGCGGGTCCCTGACCAGAGCATCCTTTCTGCTCCAGGTGTTCTGTGACATGGAGATGGCAGGTGGTGGCTGGACCATCATTCAGAGACGAAAGAGTGGCCTTGTCTCCTTCTACCGGGATTGGAAGCAGTATAAGCAGGGCTTTGGCAGCATCCGCGGGGACTTCTGGCTGGGGAACGAACACATCCACCGGCTCTCTAGACGGCCAACCCGGCTCCGTGTAGAGATGGAGGTGAGAACAAGGCCTGCGTCCCAGGACTGGACCAGGCCACCACACACGACTGCGCAACTCTGGGGACGCCATTCCTATTCCTACTCACTTTAGGCTTATGTATTATGATGGTTTTCCTTTAGGTTACAGTACAGTTGAGAAAGAATAGATTTGTTCCTACTTTTCAGAAAAGTGAGGCTGCAGGTGCACAGGAAGAGGCTAGACTCAGGCCAGAGTAGAGTAATCCAACAGTCAGCGGCCTGGGGCACAAGGTCCTCTAATGTGCAAACCATACTGACACTGGTTGGTGTTCCTCATCAAAAGCCTTGAAGCATCACTATATTCTCAAATTACTCTATGACATCTCTAAATGGGGTACTATAAAAACCTTATGGACAAGAAAGTGAGAGGATACAGAGAGATTAATCAAGGCGTGTGGTGACTCAGGAGAGCAGTTTGGTCTAGGACCCTTGTTTTCTGATTCCCAGGTTTAGAGGTAAATAAGCAATAAAGCTTACTCAATTCCCAGCAGTAAAAAGATGTGTGGCTACAGCTGGAGAAAGATGAGGTGCAGGGTGGGATGAAATGACACCTGCAGCAGTTTTTCTCAGGCTCTGCCTCCTCTGACAGGACTGGGAGGGCAACGTGCGCTACGCTGAGTACAGCCACTTTGTGTTGGGCAATGAACTGAACAGCTACCGCCTCTTTCTGGGGAACTACAGTGGCAATGTGGGCAATGACGCCCTCATCTATCATAACAACACAGCCTTCAGCACCAAGGACAAGGACAATGACAACTGCTTAGACAAGTGCGCGCAGCTCCGCAAAGGTGAGATCTGGGGTGGCGGGAAATTCAGGTATAAGTCCACAGTCCCACTTGAAGAGAAAGTGTGAATTATAACTGCACAGCTGACATCCTGATCTGGCATTTCCTTTTTATATAGGCTCTGACTGCTTAGCTACTACTAAAAAAACTACTAAACGAACCCCTGTGGTCTCGCCTATCAGCCATGTCCAAGGGGAGGGTACACTCAGCCCACTAGCACTGATCTGTTTCTTGCACCAGGCGGATACTGGTACAACTGCTGCACGGACTCCAACCTCAACGGAGTCTTCTATCGCCTTGGGGAGCACAACAAGCACCTGGATGGCATCACCTGGTATGGCTGGCATGGCTCTACCTACTCCCTCAAACGAGTGGAGATGAAAATCCGCCCAGAAGACTTCCAGCCCTAAAAGGAGACCTTCTGTGGAGCAGGGCTGGAGAGCTGGAGACAAATGGAGGCTGGGAGGGTGGAGGACAGGGAGAGGACAGAAAGGGTATGCCTGGAAAGCGGCCTAGGGTCTCCAGGGAGAGAGTCAGTCTCTGAGGGGCACAATACAACCACATGTACCAGGACGTTACAGTAAATGGGAAGCATCTGAATACAATCGGTTCTGACACGTCCTTCTTGGGGGGCTGGTCTGAATGGGTTCTCCTGGCTGTGATCCCTGACATAGCAGCAGCTTTTTTCCACATGATTTTTCTATGAAAAAAAAAAATAATTGTGAGATGACTTTATCCATCTCTAAGGTGAGGGGAGGGCAGAAACAAGTTCCTTTGCTAAAAAGAACCAAATATTTTGGTTCTCAAGGAGAGACCCTGGGTGTTAGATAAAGACATGAAAGGGGATCATGGAAGAGAGGAGTTTCTATTTTTAAATCCAATAAAATTACCTTCAGTCTACACATTAAAAAAAAAAGACAATAATTGTTCTGCTGGAGGTGAGCTGATCCAGGTTGGACTTGACTGGCAGGTACTCCAGGGCACTAGGCCTTGCTGCTGGCCTCAGAGAGCTTCTCCTGCTAGGCCTCCATCAGGGTACAGCACTAAAAGCAGGTAGTGGACTGGTGGTGGCAAGGGAGCTCCAGCGGGAGGTGGGGATAGGTTCTCTCGTGGACGCTTGCACGACGCTGCCTGAAACTATTCAGTCTACAGATATATCTATTTTTATTTACTTTTAAAGAAAAGAGCTTCCTCTTTTATCTTGTCTATAAAAACTGGCTGAAAAATGAAGGTAGATGGCACTATGGTTAATAACTCATGCTTTGTAAAAATAAAATAGACTGTTTTAAATATTCAAAGTTCCTTTTTCCTCCTATAATAAATTTTTAACACGTTTGTTTTTAAATGATTACCATGACCACTTAGAGCATGGTAAAAAGTTTAAGTGAAAAATCAGAAGGTGAACAGTGAGAAAGAGACTCATTTTGTTGTGGTCTTAGGAGGTCAGATCTGGCCTAACCACCTAACCCCCAAGGAGGCCAATGCCATCACCTGGCTTCAAAATACTTTGCTAACTACTTTCTACTTGAGCAAATTAACACATAGAGAGAGGGAAAGTAACCTCAGTCATAACATATGACAAACAATTCTGACTTTTAGGAAGTCATTTTTCCTTGCCCAAAAGAACCATTCCCTTGAACCAGTCAGTGTGTAAGCCATGATGCTTACTCAGTATTTTAAAATTGTATCTACAGTCCTTTGATTGCTGGGAACCTACTTAACCTTAAAAACAAGAACACTGGGGATTTTCAAAGAAATAAACTGAGTAAACACAAAGTGTCCTGAGTAGGGCGTCCCAGAGACAGGCATTCAGACAGAGCTTCCTAAGGCAGGCAGGAGAACCTGAGATGCTTAGCAGCCAGCACGATACAGCACTTCTAGAAAAGGGAGGGCGAAAGATGAGGCGATAAGAGAGGAAGAGCCTAAGGTACCTGTGTGATTCTCTCCCGCGTCCCATACGCACCACAACGAAAACACAACTGAGCCTCTTTGAAACAGAAGCTAAAATAAACAAGTGGGACTAGTCAAACTAAGAAGCTCTGCACAGCAAAGGAAACAATCAATAAACTGAACAACCTATAGAATGGGAGAAAATATTTGCAAACCTTAACCCCTAGTAAGGGGTTAATATCCAAAATATAAGGAACTTATACAACTTAATAGCAAAAAAGCAAATAATCCTATTAAAAACCAGACAAAGAAACTGAATAAACATTTTCCCAAAGTAGACATCCACATGGCCAATAAGCTCACCACTAATCATCAAAAACACAACATCACCTCACAGCTCACATCTGGCAGGATGGCTATTACAAAAAAGATGAGAGAGAGCAAGTGTGGACGAGGGTGTGGAGAAAGGGAACCTTGTGCACTGCTAGCGGGAGGGCAGACTGATGCAGCCACTGTGGGAAACAGTGTGGAGGTTCCTCAAAACATTAAAAATGGAACTGCCATGAGATTCAGAAATGTCACTTCTGGATATATATCAGAAGGAAATGAAATCACCATCCCAAACAGGTACCTGCACCCACGTTCACTGCAGTATTACTTATAATAGCCAAGATATGGAAACAACCTAAATGTCCTTTGACAGATGAATGGAAAAAGAAAAGGCGATACACACACACACACACACACACACACACACACACACACACACACAGAGGAATACTATTTAGTCATAAAAGGAAGGAAATTCTGTCATTTGTGACAACATGGATGAATCTGGAGGGCATTACGCTAAGTAAAATAAGAGACAAAGACGGACAAATATTACATGGTATCACTTATGTGAAATCTAAAAAAAAAAAAAAAAGCTGATTTCAGACAAACATAGAATAGAATGGTGGTTGCCAGGACATGGGCGACAGGGAAATGGGAGGTGTAGGTCAAAGGGTACAAACCGCAGAGCTTCAAGTATAGGCTTTACCTGGGGACAGAGGCGTTTGTTTTCTTACAGCCAACATTAATCTGCAGGGAATTCTGAGGACTGATTTTCAATTATATTGGCTTAATAATTTAAATGACCTTTTGAACACTTTTCCAGGCCCCTGACTATATCTTTCTACTACAAATGTGCATAAACATTAATGAATCTATTATCTCTCAAAACTAGGGGAAATCTGGGGTAGGGTGAGGGAGGTTGCAGAGAAAGGTTAGCAGGGAAGTTAATGTGCAAAACTAGTTATTGATGATCAAGTTACTATATTCAGTTATCAAACAAGACTGCATGACCTAAGCCAGAGACTGAAGGAAGCAGCACAGGTTTCACATTTGCGGGGCCTAGTTAGAAACTAAAGCCCACCCCACAGGATGGCATGTTTCTAAAATAACATGTGGTATTTGAGAAATCAACATTCTCTCCAAGTCCAATTTAGCTGGGCAAGAACATGATTCTATTTTGATTTTTTTGATCACTTTTTAGTGTCTACAGGAATACTTTTTAGTATCTACTCAAAAGCAGAGCTGGCAGAGAACTTGCTATCTGATTATGCTCTCAAGTGAAGGAAGCACCACGCCTGGCAGCCTGTTCCAGCCACAGAGGAGGCACTTACTAGCCAGGTGATTTTTCCTAAACTGTCATGTTGGCATTTATGTCAAGATAATTAGATCCCAGGGCTAATACTCTGATCATCATCAGGGAAAGTGAGTTCTCCAGGAGCTGGAGCTAGCAGTCTGGGATGCTTGTAATTTCATCACAGTAGAAAATTTATTAAACAACCTATTTTGTCCATACCTAGAAGACTGAATACCAGCTTATGAGAGGACAGAACATAACCAAACCAGGGGAAAGGACCACTGACTCTCAGACTTCACTGCCTTTTATAATCACAGAACTCCAGAGGAGCACCATGCAGGCACCAACATACGTGGTCAACAAAAGCCCACCCCGTCTCTGGGTGGTCTCTGAGGCACAGGAACCAGTGCTTCCCACTCCTGCCCCAGAGAGCGCTATCTAACCCAGATATAAAATCAGTTTTTCCTAGGCTGCTATGGAAACAAACCTGCTTCTAGATGGACTTCACTGGGATAAGCAAACAGAGGTTGAAAAACAAGAGGAGCCCTGGTGCTAAGGATCACCAGAAATGATAACTGTGGCTGGAGTACTGGGAGAGCCATGTGCAACCCCTTCTCATTTAAATGTGTTGACCAGACCTGACGGCAGATTTCACAGAGCAGAAGTCTCCACGTGACTCCAGTGAATTGGCAACAAACAGTGGGAGGAAAGAAGTCATTTGAGATAAAGGCAATAATTTAAAATGGTTTACAGCCTACCTGATGAGAGACTCTAGGATGGCGGGGGTGGGACCTTTCTGGAACTCCAGTTCTTTGTAGTGTAGCGCTTTGGCATATGCTCGGCACTTGGCAGCCCTCTCACCCAGCAAAACAATGCCATTGTCATCTCTCAATGGCAGGGGGCCCTGGAGGAGAGCAGAACCCCACAGCATAGGAAAATGGAAGGCAGAACACAAACAGGAGTGGGCTGCGTGGGTGCTTCTCCCCTCCCACCAGCTGGTTCCCTGTCTGGCTCCACCTGGACAATGGGGAAAAGTCTCACCTTGTCACTGTGTTCCATAAATTCAGCCAAGTTTAAAAGAGTTTGTGTGACTTCGGCGATGTCCTGTGAGGTGAGGGCCAACTCGATGCTTCTGATGAGCTCATCCTGCTGGTCTTCGTTCAGTTCAGACCAGCAGGACACAAAGGCAGCGTTGAAGAGATCCCTGAAGGCAGAGAGGAGTGGACAAAGAGGCTGGAAATACCTCTCACGCCTCTGCCCGGTGCAGAGTCATACATACCAGGCTACTCCTGGCTTCACTGACATTGGTTATACAGAGCAGTGCTGTCCAATAGAACTTGCTGGATATGGCCTATATCTTCCCCATCCAATATAGTAGCCACTGGGCATTGAGGGCATGAACTGTGTGGTGAGTATGACTGAGGAATTCAATGTTAAGTTTTATTTCATTTTCATTAAATTAAAATAACCCCATGTGGCTAGTGACTACAGAATTTTATAAAGCAGGTATAGACACTGTGACATACAGGGCCTGTGTTGGGGGCAAGAGGAGAAAGGAGAGTAGAGTAAAAGGCACATTTCTTGGCAGTTTTTGCACCACTGCTCCTCATGGAACAAATGAACAGAAAGAGGACTTCTATCATAGAAATTGGCATTAATGGATTCTGAAAATAATCTTCAAATGGTTTTTGGGATATTTCTCAGGCAATGTCCAAATTCCTAAAATTGGAAATGGCAAAGGCAGCATCTGCTACTGCTTTTCAAAATAAAACCAGAATGCTTTTTTTTGGATGGTCATAAACAAAATGACAACAGAACTTAAGGAACTGGAAGCATTTGAGAATAGAATTCAAGTCCTCAAGTCTTAAAAGATTCTCTAAGCCAGTCTCTCATAGCTGGGGCCTTCAAAGACCTGGAACCAGAGGTGCTAATTCTAACATTACTAATACAATTTTAAATCACTACAGCATCATATGGGTGAACATATTTGCTACCCCTGACACCTGAACTTCATCCTATCCCTTCGTTTTTGGTGAATGTGGGAGGAGTGGAGTTGGAAACTATAGAATATGCCTATAATGTGTAGGTTAAGCATTTGATGGCTCTGCATCCACTTTTTGTTACATTAAAAGATCAAATCAGCCCAGCCAACGTGGCTCAGCAGTTGAGCATCGACCTATGATCCAAGAGATTCCCCATCCTGGCACATGCCGGGGTTGTGGGCTCAGTCCCCAGCAGGGGGTGTGCAGGAGGCAGCCGATCAATAACTCTCATCACTGATTTTTCATTTTTCTATCTCTGTCTCCCTCGCCCTTCCTCTCTCTGAAATCAATTAAAAAATATATTTTTTTAAAAAGAGTAAATCAGACCAATGTATGTAATTTGGAATCTATCTGATGAAAAGAACACTATTTGAAATTCAAAGAGTAACGTAAAGACAGAAAGAATTCCCATACAAATTAAGAAATAAGCTTTCTGATTTAGGTCCGAGGCTACATTGGATCCCAAATGAAAACAGATGGCACTAAGGGGTAAACACATATGTGTGTATTTATCACAAGTCTCTTGGATGACACTGTGCTCAAAAGTGACTTGGAGTAGAAAAGAGGTATGCCACGCCAGCTAAACATACAAAATCTGCACACTACGGAAACAGAGAAGTCCTAGGAGCTATTTTTAAAGCATGATAAAAATATTTGAAAGAAATGAGAGGAACCAAATCATGGCATCAAAGCAACAGTCCCAGGGACCATCACTAAATACACTGTTAAATCA